TCGCTGCTTGGGGACTGGCTGGGCATCGGTCAGCAGGTGGTGAGCAATTGCATTGTACATCACTCATTTTGTATATTCTATCAGTATTATTATTTTTTTCTTTCTTTCTTTCTTTTCTGTTCTATTAAACTGTCTTTATCTCAATCCATGATTTTTTTTTTTTTCCCTGATTCTCTCCCTCATCCCACTGCAGCGGGGAGTGAGCGAGCAGCTGTGTGGTGTTTGGCTGCCTGCCGGGTTAAACCACAACAGTGGGCACAGAACACAGAACACAAGAAAGATTATGCTGTAATAATATATTTTCAATATACAATATCATCAGATAAATAAAGACATAACATCATTCATACGTTTATTTCAAAGATGCAGAAGAATAATTTTGCATTTTCCTGATTGACACACGTGCAACTGCTGATGTGCGTAGGAAATTTGAATATGTACAGCATTATAACTCTGAAAATCTGGTCGTTAGGGAATCCTTTATTCTTCAGGCATACATATTTTAAAGCAGGCTTAGTGTTAAGTGAAGTGAAACTAAAAGAGGCAGCTCATACAAGATTGACTTGGTGATACTAGGTCAGAAAAAGGAACCATGACTTTTGCTTAACAGAAACACACTTTATTGGTGAGTTTTCTTTACCTCAGTGTGAGCATTACAGTGTCTTTTACCATCTTTCGTTTTAATAGCAGCACCATGCACACAGTTCTGTTGTTAATACTGCAGAGATGGCATATGTTTGTGGGTAAGTAATCTGCCTGTTTACAATGCCATTAGGAAACCGCTGACTCCACCAGTTCACAGGCTCGTTTAAACCCTTCTCTGCTTCCGACTTGCTAAGTATTTGGTATTCAACACCGTGCGAGTGATTTCCTGCAGCCTCCCTAACACAGGCTGGTGGGTTGCTAAGGAATATATCTCAAGAGGTTAAGAGCCCTGCAGTCACCTTGATCTCAGTGCCAGTGATTATCTGTGTAATTTTCTGCTTCATGTTTTATACTGCAGCACTGACCAAAGCTTATGTCTCTCCCTTGGCATGCATAAGTGTGAACAATTATGGCTGTAGATAGAGAGATGTACTGGTCGCTTTCACAGTATCATCTCTTTAACATATTATTACAAATGAAACATCATCATTCAACTTAAAAAAAAAAAAAAGGAATGAAAAAAAAAAAGCCAAGTGAGATCGGTTGGAGAAACAGAAGAGATTTTTTTTTGTCCTAGGTCATCCATTTTGGGTTCTTTTCATTGTCTTTGGTTCATAACCTTTTCAATACATATGCAGAACAACTGCTTCACAGCCAAGAGGACTAGGAACTGCCTTTATAGAACCCCAGACTTCTAAGGGTCTCACATGATGTCTTGTGTCATGGGCTGTTAACTCAGCAGTCACAGTGAAGGACACTTAACCCCAGGAGCTACAGCATGTTGCCACTGTGTTGCCTGTGCTGCCACAGCTGCAGGCAGAATTTCAGGGAGGGAGACAGAGACCCAGATCATGGATATAGAGAAGGATCCACATCAAAATTTCCCAAAGCTTTAAAACCACCCTCCTTTACCTGTCTTATTCCATAAGGGTCAACACCTACAGATAAGGTCCTACGATGTCATTCCCCTTCTGTTATTTTAATAGATAGCATGGAAGGATAAATGCCTTTCCTCTATGACCAACACTTGAATTCAGTCTTTCTTCAAGGAGACTAAGTAATGGGAAAGGGAAAAAAGAATTGAGTCCCTTGCTATGTTGAGAGCTCATAGCAGCCCATCCACCTCTATTACCGCTGGGTGCTATTCCTACCTTGAGGGTGAAGTATCTGTTGCCACATCTTTGCCTGTGATCCCAGGTAAGGAGTCCCTGTATGTGCAGAACTGGCTCTTTCCCACTCCATATCATACAATCATAGAACCATAGAATTGTTCAGGTTGGAAAAGACCTTTCGATCATCAAGTCCACATGGTACTTCCACACAGAAATGCCTTTTGCCAGTGCGGAGAGTTCCCAAACTGCCTGTGGGGTAAGTGATTCCCTCCCCACCTCCTGCTGGAGTCCCCAGCACCCATATTCAGAACTGGCTCTTTCCCACTCCATATCATACAATCATAGAACCATAGAATTGTTCAGGTTGGAAAAGACCTTTCGATCATCAAGTCCACATGGTACTTCCACACAGAAATGCCTTTTGCCAGTGCGGAGAGTTCCCAAACTGCCTGTGGGGTAAGTGATTCCCTCCCCACCTCCTGCTGGAGTCCCCAGCACCCATATTGTGGGA